AAAGCGAGAGGCGAGGACCCGAGGAACAAGAGGACGAGCGGCACGAAGGTAGTCAGGCAGAGGAGGAGGCGCAATTGTAAGAGAGGACGGAGGAGGCGACGGTAGAAGGGGAGGACGAGACGTGTGGGAACGGAGCAACATAGGGTGAGAGCGCGGGACAGGGGAGACAGGACGAGCGCGGGAGGGACGACGAGACCAGACGTAAGACGGAGGCGTCGGGTCAGGAGACAGGGGAGGGGACACAAGGGGGGAGCGAGGGGGAAGACGAGCAGAGGCGGTGGAGGAGGAGACAGCAGAGGCGACGGCGGCTGCGGAGGCGGTGGAGGAGGAGACACCTGGGGAGGGGCAGACGGCGAGGACTGCGCCGCACGATCACCAGAGTCAGAAGACTCCTCAACCGGGACCACCGACGGAAGAGGGGTGACGTGGGACACACCAGAGGGGGCAGGACGGGGAGGAGGAGGGGGGGGGGGCAGGGACTACTGGGGGGGGGTGACCAGGAATAGGGGGGGGGTAATTGGGGGACCGCGGTGGGGGAAGCGACAGTAGAAGGAGACGGACTCGTCAAAGGTGACGTCACAAGAGTGAAAGAAGCGGTGAGACGGCGGGTGGTAGAAGTGCCAGTCGGACGCGTCAAGGGGAAAACCGAGGAAGACGCAGGGAAGAGTGCGGGCAGTAAGCTTGTCCGTGCCGGAGGCACGGACGTGAGCAAGGCAGCCCCAGACGTGGAACGCAGACGCGTCACCAGGAGACCCAGTCCAAAGGCAAGTCGGCGAAACATGCGGCTGCTGGGGGTGCGGCCACAGGTTAAGCTGGTGAGCAGCATAGCGCACGGCAAACGGCCACAGAAAATGGGGTGCACCGGCATGGATCATGGAGGTGCGAGCCACCTCCATGACCAAACCGATGCGTCGCTCAGCGACCCCATTCTGCTGTGGGGAGTCCGGCAGGGTGAACGTTTGGGTGATGCCCTCCGCACGACAGAAGCGACCAAGGACACCTGAGGCAAACTCGCCACCACGGTCAGAGTGAAGACGCAAGACAGGGAGACCTCGGTGGACACGGGCAGAGACATGCCAGGGGATGAGAGCGTCAGGCACGTCGGCCTTGTGCTCCAGGGGATAGACTGTGGTGTAGCGAGTGAAGTCATCGACAAGCACGAGGAAGTAGCGCTCGCGACGCGGCCCATGGACGGGGGCGGGGCCCCAAACGTCCATGTGCAGGGTCTGCAGCGGCGCGGCGGTAGGGGGAAACGAGGAGGAGTGAGGGGCACGGCGAAGCCGACCCTCGACACAAGGCGTGCAAGGTGGGGCGGGGGAGGAGGGAAAAGCGGGGAACGAACCAGGGAGACCAATGACGAGACCGTGCTGGGATATGTGACGCAGACGCGGGAGCGCAAGGTGACCTAGGCGGTGGTGCCAAAGGAGAGTCGGGTGGGTGAGGGACCGACAGGAGCAGGCAGCAGCAACCTGGGTAGACGCAGCGACCGGAAGGGGCGCCCCAGCCGGGGGAGTCACGGTGTCCAGAGTGAACAGGCCGGACACCGGGTCCCGGGGGAACGTGGACAGGGGGGCACCTATGGCGGCCTCGGTACAGACAGCATACCGTTCGTGACCAGGGAACGTAGTGGTGACGCCAAGGTCCTGGAGGCAGCCGACACCAACTAGATTCCTGGAGAACGAGGGGATATGCAGACCTGTGAGAGAGCCCGAAGGAACCGCCAGACAGGGAAGGGTGGTGGAACTGCGGGCGACTACTGGACCGCCGGAGGCGTCAGCAAGAGAAACTGCAGCAGGAACAGGAAGCGGCGTCAGCATAGTGGAGTCGCGGAAGAAACACCAGGAAGCGCCAGAGTCCAAGGTGAAGGAAAGCGAAGCAGTGGCGGCTGGCGACGGGGCGACGGCGGAAGCACCAAGGCTAAACAAAGCAGGAGCTCCTACGCCTGACGCAGCAGGGGAGGCTATGCTAGGCACACCTACACTAGGCGACAAGGAGTAATAAGAGGGGAGCACACTAGAGTCATCAGCATGCATCACATCATGGCAGAAACAATGGCATCCATGTCCATGTCAAAAATATGAACTCTACGACTAAGCAAACTGTGCCAGTCCGGGAGGTCGGGCGACGAGCCGAAGCGCTGACGAAAGTGGTCGTCCAGGCGACGAAGACAGCGGGCAGTGGCGTGACCGATCTTACCGCAAACAAAGCCGCGGCGAGGACCGGTCTGGATCTGGTACTGACAGCGCACGCCTCCCGAACTGCCACCCGGCACACCACGACGCACACGACCACCATCAGCGCCAGGCCACCCGGGCGGGAGGGCACTCGCCTGCCTCGTCTGCGTGGCTGGTGCGGCTGCTGCTGCTGCTGGGGCGGCTGCCCAGCTGGACCCGGCAGGGTCCCCTCGTCCGCTCCACTACCAGATGTCCCGACTCCACCACCACCTCCACCTGCACCCCCACCTCCTCCGCCGAGCCCAGCCTTGGGGTGGCGGCCCTTCCCCGGACGGAACTGCGCTGCAGCGGCGGTCTCAGCCACAGCGGCAGAACCATCGGAGAAGGTGCACTGAGAAGGGGACCGGCACAGTACCGCTCGCCTGGGCGATAGAGCGGTGGCGGGTCTCAATAACAGCCAGGGTGTCTACAAAGTCCATGAGGGTGAGGTCACCGGGGTGAATGCTAAGGAAACGGTCACGAGCAGCGGCAAGGCGGTCAGGGAGGCGGGTGGAAAGCAGGTAGAGGGTAGAGGTAAGGGGCGGCTGGTGGGCTCTAAGCTGTGCGTCAGTGCAGGTAGCACGCCAGGTCTCATCTATCGTGCGCAGGTGGGCAGCCAGGTCAGCGACAGTGGGGAAAGACGCAAGGTCAGGAAAGAGCATCGGTAGGATCAAGCGACCCTCCGAGGCAGCAGGCGGGGCGGAATAGCGCCGGATAACAGCATCTAAGAAAGCCTGGGCGGTGGTGATCGACCTAAACTGAGGGCGCTCAGACGGGGGAAGGGCATTGCTAATGGCAAGCTGTGTAACAGCGTCACGGGAAAGCGAGACAGAGCGAGCGAGGGCAGCGGCCGCAGTAGACTTGCGCTCAGCAGGTGTGGGGTCAACGGGCAGCACAGCAGGGGGTTATGGGCAGGGAAGCATACCGTCAAGGTGTGTCGAGAGCGAGTGGCCATCCTGCCGCTGACCAGTGAGGTGGCGGCGGAGGTCGGCTAGCCACGCCTCAAACTCCAGAGGCTGGCCTTCAGCGTCGAAGCGAAGCTCCGCCGCCATCAGGAACAGTGCAGGGCAGGGCCAGGTGAGCACGGTACAGTGCAGTTCGGTGCAGTCCGGTGCAGTACGGTACAGTGCGGTGCAGCGCGGTACAGTGCGGTGCAGCGCGGTACAGTGCGGTACAGTGCGGTGCAGTGGGGTGCAGTGCAGTGAAAAGTTGTTGGAGAACCGTATCAAGGAGAGTGCAGTGCAGTAGCAGGGACGAAGAGCGGGCCGCACGCAGATCGGCAGGAAGGTGAGCACGGGGCCGGAGGGCGACGGGCAGGGCGCGCGCAGGGGTCGGCAGAACGGGTGCGGAGGCCAGGAGCAGCGGGCGCCGGGCCGGCGAGGACGGGGGCGGGGCCAGGTAGGACGGGCGCGGGGGCCAGGTAGGACGGGCGCGGGGCCGACTAGGACGGGCCTGGGACGGGCGCTGGGCCGGCTAGGACGGGCTCGGGGGCAAGCTAGGACGAGCGCGGGGGGAGGGGGGGGCTGTAGGACGGGCGCAGAGGCCGGCTAGGACGAGCGCGGGGCCGGCTAGGACGAGGGCGGGAGCCGGTAGGACGGGCGCGGGGGCCGCTAGGACGGGCGCGGGGCCGGCTAGGACGGGCGCGGGAGCCGGTAGGACGGGCGTGGGGGCCGCTAGGACGGGCGCGGGGCTGGCTAGGATGGGCGCGGGGGGCGTTAGGATGGGCACGGGGGCCGCTAGGACGGGCGCGGGGCCGGCTAGGACGGGCGCGGGGGCCGTTAGGACGGGCACGGGGGCCGGTAGGACGGGCGCGGGGTCGACTAGGACGGGTACGGGGGCCGGTAGGACGGGCGCGGGGTCGACTAGGACGGGCGCGGGGGCCGTTAGGATGGGCGCGGGGCCAGCTAGGGCGGGCGCGGCGGCCGTGAGGACGGGCACGGGGGCCGGTAGGACAGGCGCGGGGCCGACTAGGGCGGGCGCGAGGGCCCGCTAGGACGGGCACGGGGCCGGCTAGGATGGGCGCGCGGGCGCAGCTAGGACGGGCGCGCGGGCGCGGCTAGGTGGGGCGGCTAGGATGGGCGGCTAGGGCGCGGCTAGGTCCTAGAGCGGAAGCGTGGGCGGGGGCGGGACCTACCTACTGCTGATACCATCTTAGAACTAAATGAATTGATAGAGTAGAGAGAGAGTACAAGAGAATACCTAAGTGTTGTACCCTCTAAGAGGTGACCCTATACAGTCTATGCAAACATTAGAGATACACATGTTTAACATATGGGACCTAATTACTACACCCCCAATTGCGGCAAATCGTAAGCACAACTCAATCATTACAATCCTGGGCCATTGCCAAGCCATTGCGAGGTTGTTGCCCTTCCTAACCCAACCAGACGCGTACTCTACATTAGTAAATCACATCTATACAATCATGTGGAGTATGCTTTACTTCATGTCTTTTGGGATGCGTTGTCACATATCCCAAATTCCAATGCTAGCGAAGCACAATCATAGGAGCTGACGCATTAATTTAAGTCGAAATGTGTTTCTATGTTTTTTAGATGCAATGCTGTGGCAAGTTCTCAAATTATATGCATTCAAATGATGTCTAACACGAAGGATATACAGATCGGTTATGACCTCAACAGTTTAGCGGTGTACAGGTGCTGTTTTAAAAATTTGAGCCTACTTCACCATTGCGTGGTGCACCACATTACTCATTTTCCCCAACAGCCTGTTCCTGCCTGTACAGTTGTTCATTGCTTCCACGCCGCGACTAGTATACTACAGATGAGGCAGGCAGAAAGGAAGCAGTGCATCTACTCCTACCATTTCTCTCTTCCGCTCGCCAGCAGCTCCCAGTGTTGAGAAGTGGTTCATCGTTAGCGATGGCGCCCTCGTCTCACGAGGGAGCTGGTCGTGCCGCACACCTCTTGGAAGCGGCGTGCTTCCGACTGCCCGCGGTGGAGGCTTGTGTCGCGATCAATCTCATGTGCCGAAACCCTGGTACGTCGGTCCGCTCTCCCTCCTGTACGCCGTCTGCTGCCTTTCGTGGCTGGTGATTGAAGCATCGGCGTCTCGCATCTCCTTCTCGAGCGACAACAGCTAGGGTTTTCATTTGACTCAATTGCCTCCAATTGTTTGCAGGCATTTGATTGGAGCGGAAGAAATCCTCTCTTGTCGTCTCTACATATGCTGCGGGGCTTCCGCTTGCTTCTCGTTCGACTGGAAGGTCCGTGCAGTGGCCACTCCGTTCTGCTCCCCTACTCTCTGTGTCCGCCTTCCCCCCTCTTTCCGTTCCTGATAGCTTTCGCGGCTTGACACCCGATGTTTCTCTGCGCGTTTCTTGGTGACCGAGTTGAGTGGGATGCGAAGTTGAGGGGGTCGAGGCTTTGAGAGAAATGTGAGTGATGGGAGAGCGATGGCAGCGCGATGGCAGAGCGATAGGACACTGTTCCCAGTCCAGCGCGGGGCAGCACGTGCAACCATGGCTGCCACTGCAACTATCATCTGGGGCACAGCACCTCTGCTCCTTGGACGCCACGCTCGCTGCGGCCTCGTCATCGTGAGGCCCGGGGGGCGCCTGTCCTACATTCTTACTCTTACCCTCGTTTGGCGTGACTCGTGACCATGACGTATTTTGCGCCGTCTCGCATTCCATGCTCGGGTTATCAACCAAGTGTTTTGCGAAGTTTTTTTTGCGCCGCAAAACGCGAACACTTAATGAACCAAGCGTTTTCCTCGTGGCATTTAAACTGTTTTTCCCCATCGCCCCTTCTCTGCCGTCCTTGCAGGATGATGCCAGCTCCCCGCTGTGCAGCGCCGGCAGCAATGGCTCCTGACTGGGCCGTATTTCATGCGCCGCTCCACCGCCCTACTCGCTACCATGACCCCGCCGGCAGCGAGAAGCGTATCTACTGTGCAACGTGCGGCCTGCGATGACGTGGCGTGGTCGGCCGCGAGCTCGAGGCGTCGTCATTTTTGCACTGCCCACCACGGTGCGCTTGGCGTCCTACAGAGTCTCTTGCGCCGCCGGTGCCTCTCTTTCCCCCTTCAACGCTAATTACCCGTCCTTCTCCTTGCTTCTTCCCTGGCTCGCTTTCGCCGTTTCCCCGTCCTTGTCGCTCTGTCGCTCCTGCGCGGGTCCAGTGACGATGATGCCCTGCGGGGCGCCCATGTGATTGACCGTGAACGAAGCAAACCAAAACGACTTCTCCTTCTTCTGAGGACCCGCGCTCTCAACCCCTTCTCCTCTCTCTCGCCTGGTATTCCTCCCTCCCCTTCTCTCCGCCTTCGTTCCTTGCCCTCTGTCGTGTGGTTCTTCCTCCGGTGCGCCATGGCCAGCTGATGAGAAACATAACCGGTGCATGATGAGATGCGCGCATCCGTGAATGTTAAAAAATACTCTAATTTTTTCCTGATGGTTTGGCACAGTGCGTCAAGATAACGATGTTGCTTTCATTCTCCTTATGTCCTGTTGTGGCTCTGCTTCTAGCGTGCCACTTCTCGCCTTCTTTGCCATGACTCGCCTCGAGGACGACTCTAATATTCAAGCTCAACAGGCCCGAGGCCTGCCCTCCGCCGTCAAAAGCGGAGGGCAAAATGGCCGGTGACGGTTACTCCGCTGATCTGAGAGGCGATTCCTTGTTACGATATCGCGTTTTTTTTTCTTTCTGCCGCGTGACACAACGCGGCAGGCCCATTGGTCTTCCGTCTCTTTCGCTTGCATCCAGTGGTGCCGCGTCCTGCACTCTTGTTGCTCGTATCTTCTTGCTTTGCTTCGAGGACGACTCAAATATTCAAGCTCAACAGGCCCGAGGCCTGCCTTCCGCCCTTAACAGCGGAGGGCAATTTGGCCGGTGACGGTTACTCCGCTGATCCGAGAGGCGCCGCACATTTTTTGTCCCCCTTCCCCTTTCTCGCTCACCTTATGCAATCATGCGCCTACAGCCCCTTGTCTCTTGTCGACTAACTTTTTCCCGTCGAAGGTCTGAGTTGGAGCGCGCCGGTCTGTGCGGCGTCGCGCGCTCCTTAGTTGCCCTTCGCACAGCGAATGCGGGCGGCCATTATAGCGGCGGGGCCCGCACCCTGGTCTCTGCCCGCTAACCCGTGTTCTCGTTGTGGGGCGCTCTGTCGGGTGCCCGGGGCGGCTGGCCGCTGGGAGTGCGACCCACTCGCAGCGGTCCGCCGCATCTGGTGCTCGTCAGACGCGTCGCTCCGTGGGAGAGCGGGTGGCTGTCTGAGCCCACTGCACCCTCTGGCTCTGCCGCGTCGGAGGCCGCTCACACCCCTCGTGCTCACACCCCTCGTGCTCACACCCCTCGTGCTCACACCCCTCGTGCTCACACCCCTCGTGCTCACACCCCTCGTGCTCACACCCCTCGTGCTCACACCCCTCGTGCTCACACCCCTCGTGCTCACACCCCTCGTGCTCACACCCCTCGTGCTCACACCCCTCGTGCTCACACCCCGTGCTCATCCCACTCCCCCTAGCGTGTGACGTACAGACCACCGCCATGCTCATCGTGTTTGCATTCTCTCTGGTGTCCATCCCTCTGCATGCACAGGCTCTCAAGTATTCCACAGCGCGTGTCTTCCAGCCGCCCTCGCACAAGGCTGAACCACCAAACCCCCTCGCGTTCGCCGCCATGCATCTCACAGCAAGCACTTGTGGTAAGTTCGCCAGGTCTCAGCGAGGCAGCAAGCAAGGCCGTGGGCGTGGGGTGGGAGGGGCGCGCTTGTTACCAATGCCCTGGGACCCCATGTTCCCAGCGGTCACAATGGCTTAAGCGCCACATTATGGGCGCTCGGCCCGCCATGGACATTCTTGCTTTGCGGAGAACCTTGGTTCCGCTGAGCCGGGAAAGCCATGGCATATCACCCACCCCTGGAAAGATCGGTCTTTGCTCCAACTTCTCTCGCAGTTCTTCGATTTAAGGTACCTCGTTGTGCCGTCTATTGAGGGCGTTGTCATACGAGGCGGTGGTCGCAGTGATGAAGCACAACGGTTTCAGACTAGAGTTTCCGAGCCTCTGGCTTTGACGAGGACTCCTTTGGCTGTCTGAGCAACCACCGCCCGCCCTCTCCTTGGACTGTCCTCCCCTGCCCTCCCCTTCCCTCCCCTGCCCTCCCCTGCCCTCCACTGCCCTCCACTGCCCTCCACTGCCCTCTACTGCCCTCGACTGCCCTCGACTGCCCTCGACCGCCCTCTTCTGGTCCCATCTGTCACTCTTGCCTGCCACCTAGACTGCTGCTACGTAGAACCCCCAAATTGCTGCTGTCCTGGACGCTTTTATGCATGTGGTGGCTTCTAGATGGGCGCCTTGCCAAGCCCAGCTCCGTGGTTGCCCTGATAATCCCGGCTGTGTCCGGCGCTGCCTCAGTGCCGGTGGCGCGGTCGTTTCATGCAGGGCGCACACCAACCACTCTGCCCTCACAGGCCGGGGTGGTGGGGGGTTCGCTGACGGGCGTCCCGGCGGGTGGCACGGGGGCCCTGTGGTCCTTGTGCTGCCGCCCCCATGGATGTCTCTCTATAGTCACTTCTCCAACAGGTTGAATCGTTTGATTCAAGGCTTTTTTCGTTTCTGCTTTCTCTGTTGAATGTGTGCAGGTTTTCCGTGGGACTGGAGGCAAGTGTTAGTGAGCTGAGCGAAGAGGCTGTGAAGTGAGCTTGTCACCGACTATGCTGCATGGCGTGGCCCAGCGTTGCAATGAGAACGGATTAGTCCTAATCCTGGCAGCAGCTATGAGCAGTCCTTTCGTATTCATTGATATGTTTTGTTGTAAATTTGTTTGTAGTATCCCGATTAACCTAAACGATTGACTTACACTCTGTTATTACTGTTTCCAGTGTCTACTTCGTATTTGGGAGTACGAGTGTTTTGATTGAGCTCTTAAACTGTTGGAATATGTGCTAGCACGCTGCTACCAGCAGCAAAGCAGGAGAGCATGCACGAAGCATGAAAGAAGTTGTAACAACACTTGCGATGCCCTTGCTCTCCATCAGATAAAATCCCTTCCAGATAAAATCCCTTGCAACACACCCAGGTGAGCCCATAAATGGAGCCCAAAGGTCCCTGCCAAGGGCAGCAGGCAGCAGCAAAGGAAGGGTCACCGCCAGCGAGCGGCATTGGACACTCTCCGCGTGGAGGCAGCACCTGTCCCAGCGGGCGGTCGTCCCCCCGTCCCACCTCGCTTCCCCCGGCCTGCCTGTCTCGTGCTGGCAGCGCACCCGGCAAGGAAAGCGTGCAGGGAGGAGAGCCATGCCGTGGCCTGGGTGACCTCGCGGTGCAGCAGCAGCTGCCGCACGTAGCGCGCCAGCTGGCCATCCACCCCGCGCCGCCGCAGGAAGGACTCCATGGCGGACTGGATGGCGGGCGGCAGGGCACTGAGGGGAGAGAGGGAGTGGGCGTGGGAGAAGCGGATGGTGGGATCAGTGGGAACGCATGGAATGGACTGACGGTTGGATGGACGGGCGGATGGTGCTCACGTGGGGATGGCTTGTGATGGGAGGAGACCAGTGAGAGGTGGTTGAGAGGGCGGGGAGACAAGTGAGAGGTGGTTGAGAGGGCGGGGAGGGAGAGAGGCATTATGACAATGAGGGTGAGAGAATAGTGTTAGAAGAAGGCATTGTCAAGAAGTGAGAATGGAACCAAGCTGCAGAGCAAAAGATAGGGAACGCATCTGAACAAGAAAGAGAGGGATGAGAGAAAGGGGCTCACTCATAAAGAGTGTAGTCGAAGGGTATTCTGGGCGATGCCTCGTGCACTGCTGGGTCGTCCACAGCCACCTGATCGGGGCAGGGAGGGCAACAGGAACGGTGGGATGGAGAGTATACGAGAGGAGATTGCCACGCCCAGGCACAAGGTGATGTGGAGGACCCAGAGTGATTTTCCTGTCAAGTGCAGAGGTTGTGTGCGTTTAAGGTGCCTCGCAGAAGGAGCAGTGCTAATGTGGGTTTCTTGTGACACCCCTGCTTGGTGGAAGAGCACTCACGTGGTTGACGAGCCATGTGTCCCCGGCAATGGTGCAGTGCACTCGCAAGCGCGCTTCCTCCTCCTCCTCCTCGCCGCCCCCTGCTGCCCCTTCCTCCACCGCTGCTGCTTCCTGCTGCCCACCCTGTACTGCTGCTGCTGCCCTCCCACCCTGCCCTTCCTGCCACTCGCCCTCGCCCCTCATCCGCCCCACAGGCCTGCCCATGCCTGCCATGCTCCCCCCCATGCCCCCCCGTGCTCTCATGCCAGCCACGCCCATCGCCATGCGCCATGCTGCCGTCTCACTACCCGGCGCCGCACTCCTCACTACTGCGGCGTCTGGCTGTGCGGTGCGCAGGGGCTTGCTGATGATGATCAGCGCGGGGATGCACGTGTCACTCTCATGTGCTGACGTGGCACTGCTGGCCCCCATGTCACTGCCACCATCCTCACCAACCCAGCCCTCCTTCCCTGCTGCTTCAACCCATTTTGCCCTTCGCTTTGCCTCTCCTCTCTCCTCCCCCTCCCCCTCTCCCTCCCCCTCCCCCTCCCCCTCCCCCTCCCCCCCCTCCACGAGCCCCCCCTCGTGGCCCTGCAGCAGCAGCATGAGGCGAACGTGCTCGCCCTGGAAGCGGCGTGAGAGCCACAGGTCCGCCACGCCCTCCCTCTCCGCCACCTGCCAGGGGGGGGGCGGGCCCACCAGGATGGGCTGGGCGGAGCAGAGGGGGGGGGAGGCAGGATGGAGGGATGCAAGGAGCAGGGTGATCACAAGTGGACGCCATCATTGGAACGAATGACGTGGCATGGCACGCGTGACACGGGACTGACGTGGCAGAAGGGGGCTGAAGTGGCAGAGGGGGGCTGATGTGGCAGAAGGGGGCTGATGTGGCAGAAGGGGGCTAATGTGGCAGAGAGGTCAAGGGTGCAAGCATCAGCGTGGGGCCAAGGCTCTCTAAGTCCACCTCGGCACACTCGGTCCAACCGGCTGCTCCACCGCCAGAGCGCACATGCACTGCTCTGCACGTGCGCAGACGTGTGCGCGCAGCACGCCCACCTTGGGCGGGCGGTACATGGCGCGCTCGTGCGCCACCTCCATGCCCACCGCCTCCACCAGCTCCTCCTCGCCCCCCGCCCCCTCCTCCCGCCCCCTCGCCCCCCTCTGCTGCTGTCGCTGCCCCGGCCACCACTCCTCCGTCTCCCCCTCCCTCCCCTCCCCTGCCTTCCTCCGTCTCTGCTGCTCCCCCTTCCCCTTCCCTCCGCCCCTTTCTGCTCCCTCTGCCTGCTCCAGCTGAGCCCGCCAATACGCCTCCCCCCAATCCTCCTCCCCCTCCTCCCCCTCCTCGCCCTCCGTCCCCCACTCGTCTTCGTCCTCAAACGGCTTCGGCTCTTCTTCCCTCCTCCCGCCCCCTGTGCGCATTCCCCCACCTCTCGCCCCCCCCTCGTTGCCCCTCGCCACTCCTGCTGCCGCCATGCTGCCGCCCCCGCGTGCCGCGGTCACAACATGCCTTCGCCATCCCATCATCTTCTCCCGCACGTGCTTCCCTGTCGTCTGCACGCACGGCCCCGCACCCGCACCTCGTCGCTCCGTCTCTGCACGAGCAGCGGGCCACAGCGCACCAACCGCCACGGGCCCCCATCTTACAATCGCTTCTCGCCAGCTGTTTCCGCGCGCTCCCCATTCCCTCTCCCCCACCCCGCTTCCATCGTCCCCCTTCCCGTCCCCCTCCTCGAACCTCCCCCCGCTACCCGCCCCACTGTCCTCCTTCCCCGCCCCCTCCCCGCCGCCACCTCCCCACCCCTCCGCGCCCATCCCCGCGCGGCCAGCCGCGTCCGCATCGCCGCGCAGATTTCGAGTCCACGCGGTGCGGCAGCTCGACGCGGCGCTGAGGCCGTGAGGGGGGCGGAGGGCGGCGAGCGGCGATCGCACGCGGGACGACGCTCTGCGCGCCAACGCGACGGCGGTCATTGGGGGCAGCGCGCGGGTGGGGTGGGGAACTCGGGAGGATGCTACAGCAAGGGCAAGGGCAGCGCGGCACGCGATTGCCGATGCGTGGGGATGGAGGAGCTGCGGAGCGGGGAACGGGAAGCGGGAACGGAACCGCGCTCGACAATGACTAGTCGAGGCACCGCATCCGTGCGACCCGCGTGGCGTCTTCCATGACGATGATCCGCGCGGCCTGTTCTCCGCCCCATCCACTGACACTCCCGAGAAGGCTGGATGAGGCACGCGGGCACGCCGACTCGCGCACCCCGGTTTACAAGTGGTGCTCGCTCGGGCCTACACTTGCGACGCTGCTCCCGTGCGGCACGACGGCTCGAGGTTTCGCGGGCAGGGCGGCAGGGAGAAAGGCCCGGCGCCGTGTGAGAGGAATGCAGGGGGGATGTGGACGAAGGATCGTTTGGACACCATGGGGAGCCCAGATGAAGAAAGCAAGGAGCAAATGCCAAATTCCATCACGGGCGAGCCACCCTCATCAGCAGCTGCAGGCGGGGAGCAGGTTTCACATCCTCTGCCATTACATAGCGAAGATTCAAGTCGTCATCCCTAACGCCCCACCGCCATCGCGCCGTCCTTCCGCGCGCCGCTGCGCCCGTCAACATCAATCGCCCGCCCACGTCGCCATACCCACCTATCGCCAGTCGCCATGTCGCTGGCGCTCTCCAGGGCGCGTCGTTCGTTGACGCCGCATCGCCTCTTCGCCTCGCTCGGCCTTCCCGCCGCGTCTCCGTCGTGCGAAGAGGGAGCACCGCTATCGAGGGAGCTTGGCTCGCGGCCGGAATTAGATCGGCGCCCCCATGCCCATGCCGCCGCGCAACGCGCCGTTGGCAGCGCCGGCGGCGCGTGCGAAGCAGCTGGTCCCGCGGGACCTTGGCCGCAGCAGGGGGCGACGAACGCGGCGTGTCGAGACGGCGCGCGCGCGGAGGCCGCCGCGGCGAACACGGCGCCTGCGACGCGCGGCGGAGCGATTTGTCGGGCTGCGCCGGGATCCGAGCAGCGGGGGAGGCGGGCCAGAGCGGCAGCGAGGGCCGCGGAGCAGCTGTGGCGCGCAAGGCACAGGCGCGGGTTGCCCAGTGGCATGGCGATGGCAGTGGCGCATCCTGACACGCCGAGTGGGCCGCGTCGTCGCATGCTGTCGCTCTCCGCTGCTCGCCCTACACTCGCCCTCTCCGCCGCTGCTGCTATGGACAGTGCTGGCAGCAGCAGTGGTGGTGGTGGCGGTGGTGGTGGTGGGGGCGGCATGGAGATATTCAATCGACGGCTGAAAGCCATGCAGGTGAGGGCATGGGGGATTGGTAGGTGTGGTGCGGCTGCCTATCCGTCCTTGTAGCTTGCCTACAGTCCCACCATATGCGGGGTTGTGGGTCTAGTGGGGAGTCAGGCGTGTGCTTGCTGACCAGTCGCACACGTTCACTGTGTGGTGACGTCAGGAATGTGAGCATGCTTTAAGAGTGCTTCTCATTCCACGCAATCCATGGCAGCGCGACAGAGCAGCAGCTGACATGGCCTCGCCGCCTAACGAGGCGCCACGTGGCGACCCCCTAGTGGAGCAAGTGGCGTCGGTCCTCCTTGACCGCCTGGCAGTGAGTGACTGTAGCGCGCCTGCACGAGACGAGAGGTTACAGCAGGTTGAAAGCGGTGCACTGCAACTCGCTGCACACATTGCTCTCGCATTCACAGCTGCACTGTTGCATGTGGCATGTGGCATGGGGCATGGTGCATGGGGCATGGTGCATGGTGCATGGTGCATGCAATGCATAGGAGTTGATTCGCAATGGTGACAAGGCACCACTGCATCGTAATAGACCCACTATGGGTGCAGCACGCCGCACACTTGTTGTCGCACATGCCTCAGTAGAAGGCGAGCCCGAGTTCTCACCTGCAGCTCCCGTGTGCCTCCACCACCCCCTCCCCTCTCTTCCCTTCAACCCGCTCTCCTCCTCACCACTCTCTCCCCGCCTCAGCCTCGCCAGCAGCGGTGCAGCGGTGCAGCGGAGCAGCGGCTCATGCTCCTCGTTCCCCCCCTCCCTGCCCCGCAGGACTGCAGTCGCTCCTTCTCCTCCCTGCTGCTGCTGGGCGCCGCTGCCCTGCCCTCCGTGCTCACCATGCTGCTGCACACCCACCGTACGGTAGAGAGTGGTGCAGTGTGGTGTACAGCAGTGCGTTATGAAGCGGTTGCCGGTCTGCTGCCTGTGATGGTGCGGCGCCCTGTGATTGGAGGGTACTCATGTTTTCTAGTTCATGAGACGGCAATTAGTCTGGTGAATCTGTGTTGTTGTTGGATGTGCCAGTGCATGTCTGCTGCTGCTGTTGGTGGACTGCTAGTCCAAACTGTCTGCCTCTCCGTGCTCCTTTCTTCTCTGCTCTGCTCTGTTTGCCCCTCCCTGGCATCACCACACTGCCACTGCCACACCCTATTACGCTATGCTGCAAAACACCCACTCATTCCATCGCTCACTGCATCGCCTCCCTCCTCTGTGCCTCTTCGTCCTCTCATCCAATCATCACCTGTCCCCCTCACCATTCTCCCATGCACAGCTGGCATCCAGCGATTGGTGGTGATGGACATCTCTCCCGCAGCCCTTGCTCTGGCGCGCTCTCACCTCCCCCCCCACGCCGTGTGCTGCAACGACAGCATCAGCTCCAGGGGGGCCGAGTGGAGCCCAACGGACAGTGCAGAGGCAGCGTCAGCAGCAGCATTGCCATCAACAGCATTGGCAGCAGCAACGCGGAGGGTGGAGGTGGCGTTCGTGCTGGCAGACGAGGAGCACCTGCCCTTCGCACGCAGGTCACCACTTCACACATTCGCTCATTCTCCCCATTTGTGCTGCAGTCATCACTGCGGGCCTGCGGGCCTGCCCCTGCTACTCCACTGCGGGCCTGCCCCTGCTACTCCTACCTACCAAGTGCTACCAATGACAAGCCACACCACCATTCCTCATCAAAGCACAGACTTCAAAGTCCAAGTCACTGATTAAGCTGCAGCCACGTATTGTACACATGCTGTGAAGTAGGGTCCCGTTGTATACCCCACCCACCGCAATCCTGCCCCTGGCTTTCCCACTGCAAGCTCGTCTCAGCCGCAACACCTGTCCACCACTTCTCCCGCTTCCTCCCCGCCCCGCAGCTCCTTCGATGCGGTCATCGCCTGTCTGGGCTTGCACTGGGTCAACGACCTGCCGGGCGCCATGACGCAACTCAGGTGGGTGGTGGCGCAGTCCCCCCGGGGGCTGCCTACATGCTGCGCGGCTCACCAGTCAATCCCCTCTCCAATACTGTCACGCACTCCTCTGTGGGCCTTGTCTGCATGCCACCTGCATCTCGCACTCCATTGTTATTTTGTTTTCACCTCAACGCTTCTCCCACCCCACCATCTCCATGCTCGTCACTCATCTCACGCTTCTCTCAAGTGCCCCTCCTGTGCTTCTCCTGTGCTTCTCCTGTGCCCCTCCTGTGCCCCTCCTGTGCCTCTCCTGTGCCTCTCCATTGCTGCGCCCCGCTGCCCCCACCAGGACGGCCCTGAAGCCCGATGGTCTCTTCCTCGCTGCCATGCTGGGCGGCGACACTCTCAGGTAGTGTGGGATGGGCTGTTGTGTGCGCGTGCTCTCGCTGCTCCCCCGTCCTCCCCTCCAGGCAATTCTCTCTCCTGTTGCCTCTTTGCCTGCTTCCCCTCACTTTTCCCCACCTCCCTTCAATCCCTGCAAGTGGCACCTCATGGTTTGACAACGGGTATGGTGTGACATGGCTTATGATGGGATAACATAGCATGGCACGTGCGTGATGGCATGGCACGTGCATGATGGCATGGCACGTGCATGATAGCATGGCTTGATGGTATGGCATCTGCATGGTGGCATGGCATGTGCATGATGGCATGGCATGTGCCCCACAGGGAGTTGCGCATCGCATGCACATTGGCGCACATGGAGAGGCAGGGCGGCGTGGCGGCTAGAGTGGCACCCATGGCCCAGGTAGGGGCCCAGGCACCCTGCATGCTGCTCTTAGGTCTCAGGCAGGTGGGGTGTGAGGCAGGTGGGGTGTGAGGCAGGTGGGGTGTGAGGCAGGCGGGGTGTGAGGCAGGTGGGGTGTGAGGCAGGTGGGGTGTGAGGCAGGCGGGGTGTGAGGCAGGTGGGGTGTGAGGCAGGTGGGGTGTGAGGCAATCAAGCATGAGACGGGTTGTCTGTGTTGATGCAGAAACCTTTTCGCACTGGCAGGCTGGACCTTTTTGTCAAGAACATGGCATTAGGGTGCTGTTGAGGGCTGTAACTTGGCATCGCGCATGTGGTTATCAGAATGCTCATGTGGTTACCAGCATGGCTCATTTGGTTACCAGCATAACACACGTGGTTACCAGCGTGGCTCATGTGGTTACCAGCATCGCTCATTACCACATTATCTCATCCCCATCCGCCCTCCTCAACATGCCTATCGCCCCCCCTCAGGTGCGGGATGCTGGCAATCTGCTCACCAGAGCTGGCTTCGCTCTGCCCACCGTTGATGTCGATGACTTCCCCGTCGCCTACCCCTCAGGTGCTGTTGCCTACCCTTCAGGTGCTGTCGCCTACCCCTCAGGTGCTGTCGCCTACCCCTCAGGTGCTGTCGCCTACCCCTCAGGTGCCGTCGCCTACCCCTCAGGTGCTGTCGCGTACCCCTCAGGTGCTGTTGCCTACCCCTCAGGTGCTGTCGCCTACCCCTCAGGTGCTGTCGCCTACCCCTGAGGTGCTGTCGCCCACCCCTCAGGTGCTGTCGCCTACCCCTCAGGTGCTGTCACCTACTCCTCAGGTGCTGTCTCCTACCCCTCAGGTGCATCTGCACCACTCTGTCCACATTCATTGCATCTGCTCCAATCTGTCCACATTCATTGCATCTGCTCCACTCTGCCACGCACGCCCTCCAGCCATTCAAGTGGTGCAGCACCTTCGGTCCCTGGGCGAGACAGACTGCACGCTACACCACGGCGCTGTATGTTTTGTGTTGTTATGCCATGTTATGTCATGTTATGCCATGTTATGTTATGTTATGTCTGGTTTTTCTATCTTACGTTACGTTGTGTTGCCATGCGCCTTGTGCTCTTCGTCAACCACTTTTACCGGGTATGGATTTGCAAGCAACTCCTTGGATGACTGGTTGGGTCCGTGGCACGCACGGGCAGCAGGCATTTAGACCTGGAATGAGTGGCATCCCCACGTGCAGCTGCCACAGCTTGTAGGGCGAGTTTTGGTTAGAGCAGACTCTCCTGCAACGCACATGCAAAGCAGAGATATTCTCTCATTGCTGGAGTGGCAGATTGTTGTCTCAAGCAAGTGTGTGCTATTGCCTGTAGAACGAAGATACGGTGAATACAAAGCTGCTTCGTTATTGCAAGTCCATGCACTCACACCCGTTGCACTCATCCACTCTGCTTTTCTTCCGCTTGTGCCTCTTCCATATCCTGCTTTCCTTAACCACCCCTCCTCCCCATGTTCACTCCTCATAACCCCCCCTAACCCCTGTCCTCCCAGCCCTTGCCCCGGGACACAGCCCTGGCAGCAGCAGCCATCTACTCGCACATGTTTCCCTGCCGCCCTCCCTCCTCCTCAAAAGCCGATTCGCCTCCAGATCTGGCGCCTGTAGCAGTGCCGAGAGCTGAGGAAGAGAAGAGAGACGATGAAATTGGTGTGCTCGCAACGTTCCAGGTTCGGTCGCTGAGCATTCCTGCTTGCCATGCATTGCTGCTTGCCATGCATTGCTGCTTGCCATGCATTCCTGCTTGCCATGCATTGCTGCTTGCCATGCATTGCTGCTTGCCATGCATTCCTGCTTGCCATGCATTGCTGCTTGCCATGCATTCCTGCTTGCCATGCATTGCTGCTTGCCATGCATTCCTGCTTGCCATGCATTCCTGCTTGCCATGCATTCCTGCTTGCCATGCATTCCTGCTTGCCATGCATTCCTGCTTGCCATGCATTGCTGCTTGCCATGCATTGCTGCTTGCCATGCATTCCTGCTTGCCATGCATTCCTGCTTGCCATGCATTCCTGCTTGCCATGCATTCCTGCTTGCCATGCATTGCTGCTTGCCATGCATTCCTGCTTGCCATGCATTCCTGCTTGCCATGCATTCCTGCTTGCCATGCATTACTCCACTCGGGCGGTGTCGGTCGATGTGCAATGATATCAGCATACGTGCGTGCATGCTCTTGTGTTCTTTGAAATGCGCATGCATGTTCACATCTTTGCGTCTGCACTTGAGCAGCCACTAGCGCCGTGTGCACTTGAGCAGCCACTAGCGCCTTGTGCACTTGAGCAGCCACTAGCGCCTTGTGCACTTGAGCAGCCACTAGCGCCTTGTGCACTTGAGCAGCCACTAGCGCGTTGTGCACCTGAGCCGGCCAAGCCTAAGCTTGGGATGGCTCTTTCAACTGTTCTTCCCCATCTCTGTCCCCATCCCATTTCCAACGTGTTCGCTTACCCCGTCTCTTTACTTTCCATCCCCCACTCTCCCCTCTCCTCCTCACCCTCCCTCCCGCAGCCCAGGACATCTTCACGCCGTGCCTGTCTCCCCTGACTCACACCACAAGCCCTGCCTGTGGCTTCATTTCTACGCCGTTGGTCATAAAAACAATGAAATCCCACCTCACCCTCCTCTCTCCCCACCGCCCCTCTCCTTCTCCCCCCGCAGGTGATCTTCATGGCGGGGTGGTCGCCCCACGAGTCGCAGCAGAGGGCGCGGCCGCGCGGCTCCGCCACGGTGTCGCTGCACGAACTGCAGCGCACCGTGGCCGCCACGCACTGACAGCGCTGTGACTATTGATGCTGCCCCCTGTGTGACTTGAGCACATCATGCCCCGCACACGGTGACAGTGCCACGAGCAGCATGCAATGACTGTGCTGTGGTGTGGTGTGGACCCTGGCCCCACTGTCGCCTCTCGCAGTGCAGCACTCGGGCACACACTGCTGCGCTCATTGGGGCTTGCTCAACTCAAGCACCAGGGGTGTCCCAGCCACGCCTGTCGTTATCAGGGTATTTTACCCTGATTCCCTGATTTCACAGGGTTTTTTTTTTGCCAACCCTTAATTTTCAGGGTTGGGCGTTTTTGAACCCTAACCTCTTCAGGGTTGTATGTCTGTGAACATTTAGGATTTCAGGGTTTGCGTTATCACAAAACTGAGTTTTCAGGGAGTAACGCGTACGAACCCTGAATGCGACATCCATGCGGGCCATGAGTTTCGGCGAAATGGCCCCCTTACGCGTGACGGGTCCTAGGCCCATGAATACGACCAGCAGGCGTCACGTGGAGAATCTGCACTTGGCAACTTTCCTGCCCTGTACACGCTGTATGTTGCCATTTCAGCAACATTTCCAACCGTTAAGTGTGGGATGGTGCACTCCGTCATGCCCCAGCCTGGCATTTGTGACTCAGCACGCAGCAGACGAGGACAGAATATGCTGAGCGCTGCAATGTCAGCCTCTGTATGACATCACAGAGCCAATCACCTCTATGCATACGATGCCAGCGCAGGTGCGTCTCGCCATTGACGGTGTCGCCATGGCGATGCGGGATCCTGGATGCGTTATGCACCGTCCATGAAAAGCGAAATCTGGGGTTTCTTGGTCCCCTTCCCATCTTCTTCACCAGTCTCTCCTCCAACCCAATTTCCTCCTTTTCTTCACATCGCAGATGTGAGATGCTCCATTCTTCTTTCTCGTCCACTTTCGTCGCGCCAATTTCTCGTTTCGATCAAATCCGCCGCTACTAGCCATGGTGGATGTATGAGAGTCTGGTGAGTCTCCCGCCGCCGATGACGGTTCTGGACCAGGTAGGGACCCCCCCGTGGAGGTCCGTAGATCCGCTCTAGATATCTTGCGGTCTCCCACCGCAGTCGCAACACCATCAGAACCCGTATCTACTCCCGCTCCCTATGTACCTCCGCCCGCTGTCGCTTCATCTAGCCGGGGCCCTTGGGTTCCAAACCGCGAGACAGCCACGACCGTGCGTTACACGGTCGAGTGTGCTTCCACGATTTCATCTGGGAAAAGGGCACGCATTGGGAAGTACACCCAGAGCACGATAGTCCTCGGCAGGAAGCTACGTCGACCGTCGCCGCCTCGCACGTCGCTTGAACCACAGGCCCCTGCTATTCCAGAACCCGAGCCGCCGAAGCTCTCGAAGAAAGAACTCATCGAGCAGAAGTATCTCATGGCTGAGCACAAGTATAAGACCGGCTGGCTTCCAATTTTCCCTTGGCTTCTGTTAACGAAAACGAATGACGGTTACCCTGCGTTGAAGTGTAGTGTGTGCAAGGCTTTCGGCAAAGAGACAACACCGTACTCCAACAGCCGCGACGGGGCACATGACCTGCACACGCAAGCGATGCGGTTCCACGAACACACGTCAGCCCACGAAGCAGCAGTAAAGCGTCAGATGGAGATCGCCGAAGACATCGCCAGCACCCAGAGGCGCAAGGAGAATTACGCGCGGACTGACATCGAGGGGAGGCGCGTCATGAAGCTCCTATGTTGCGAAGACTTCCTGTGCAAGTGTGATGCACCCATCAGCATGTACCCGAGGCTACTCCTCTTCCGCGTGTCGAAGTGGCCCCGGATGAAGCAGCAGAGAGAGAAGAAGCTGAAGGAGTACCTACATGGCTGCAGTGCCTTTTTTGACAACAGGCTGCCAAGCTTTGCCTTGCAAGCTGCGCAAAAGGAGCTGGTTACGTGGGCGCCACTGATGCTGAGCCACCATGCCGACGAGGGATTCCATCAAGGCCTGACGAACTACCTGGGCTTGACGGAGTCGACCTTGTGAGTGACTGCTGTTCGAAGGACCTTTGTTGCATGTTTTCAGGCCGGTTCTAATCTTTCCCTTGGAACTCTGTCGGGTAACAGGCGCACAACCGGATGTTGTTTATCACTTGTTGACTAGTTGCACTAATGCACTGGTCTTGTTCTTTGCACTCTGTTCCCCCAACCCTTTTGGCAGGCGCTGGCCCAACCTGATGTGTTATGGAACATGCAACCCTGAAACCTCCGACTCATACCCTAATCCCCCGTATAAAGCACCCTATGGTGTTAATAAAAATGCTGCAATTTTTTGGGCTGGGTGTAATTAAAGGCCCAAAAAAAAAAAAACACCCAGGAGTTATGGAATGTGCATAAGCTTTTTTAAATTGGAATTCAAGTGTACCTATTTCACCACATTCATTTGAGTCAGATACCCACTTTTGATCATCTCGTTGCAACCTGGACGATATTGCCGATCTGCATGCCACATTGGCACTGAGCGTGCTGTGTTAGGGAGGATGCTGTCAGAACAACCAATGAGCACACGTTTAATTTGGGGGGACGCGCGAAAGTCGATTTTGGATTTCAATGTTCTCGTCGATTTTGTTTTCATTCGGGCAGATTTGTCTCCTACCTAATCTCAAACTGAAAGAATGAACTAGAATGTGAGAGTACAAGGCAATATAGGCTAGTATGTTGTACCCTCTAAGGCACAAACCTATATACTGTAGTCTACAATAACATACTAAGTTATGTTTGACACACCCCCTAGACTATATAGCGGCAGTGCCTAACATGAGAACAAGCAGCTCAGGGCGGCACTACTAGTCCAGCCTCTGAGGCAAGGGTCTAAAGACCTGTCAAAAGGAGTACTGACAAAACAGGAGCAAGACCAGGGCGGCACTACTAGTCCAGCCACTGGGCGAGGCCACAAGGCCAGTCAGGGTAAGATATGTATATAAAGGTCAGTACACAATCAAGGTCCTAGCAAATGAGAGGCTACATGAACAAGATCAAGCTGTACACAGTGCCACTGATGATCTTTAAGCGCAAGCGCCTTCGTAAAGATATCAGCTGTGTTGGCACCGGAGGCCAAGTGTACTACGCGGGCCTGGCGACGCTGCTGCAGCTCGCGCAGGAGGAAGTACCGCAGCTGGATGTGCTTCGCTCTGCCCTCAAGTCGAGGCTCCTGACACAGGAGGATCATGGCCCTGTTGTCAGCGTGCAGGACCGGGGCAGAGCTAGGCTGCTCACCTAAGTCGGCAAGCAAGAAGGTCAGCCAGCAGAGCTCCTGTGCCGTCATAGCACCGGCATAGATCTCAGCCTCGCAGCTGGACTGGGCAACAGACGAAGAGCGGGTAGCTCTCCACGAAACAACACTTGAACCAAGGCTAAAGCAGTAGCCTTGAGAGGACCTGAGAGTCTCTGCGTCGTCTGCCCAAGAAGCGTCTGTGTGACCGGTAAGGGCCACTGGGCTGTGACCTCCCAGCACTAGCCCCATGCCTGATGTACTTGCAAGATAACGCAAAACCCTCTTAGCGGCAGACCAGTGCTGTGGTCGGTGTCTGCTTGTGGCCACAAAGCGAGCCAGGATGCTGAGAGGGTATGCGAGATCTGGGCGAGTGCAAGTCATCAGGTGCATGAGGCAACCCACCAGCTCCGCGTACGGACCACTGGGCTTGACTGACTCCTCAGGAACAGGATCTGAGAGCCTGTGGTCCACTGGCAGAGGTGTGGGCTGTGCAGAGGAAAACTGAAGACCGAACCGCTGAAGGACCTGGCGCACCAAGTGTGACTGTGAGAGTGTGATGGTGCGCGCTGCTCTGTTCCTGGAGATCTGCAGGCCAAGGTAGTGGCATAGTTCTCCGAGATCAGTGCAGATGTGTCTCTTTAGCAGATCTGTCTTCATGAAGGCTAGCGCGTCCCTGTCTGCAGTAGCAAAAACCAAGTCGTCTACGTAAACAAGGATGTGGAACGGGGTCTGGCCAGCACGAACGAAGAGTAAGGGGTTGGTGTGAGAGTGCGACCCCGTTCCATTCCTTTCTCCTTTCCATATTTCCTTTCTATTTCATTCCTTTTTTTATCGTGAGGTCTTTATCTCATCTCATTTGGTTTCCTATTCCTCCCTTTCCATTATCCTTTGGTTTATCCTATAGTTATAATTATATCACCGACCAGGCTCGGGATGTACTGGCGCGCTATATGTAGCGTAATCCTGACATAATCCCTGAAAGCCAATAGCCTCGCATGGCTATACGTAAGGTGATTCTATTTCTAGAAGGGTTTATTCCCTTTGGATAGGATAAACCTGGATACCTGATGTACTCTGGAAGTATAAAAGCACCTTGTACTGATTGATTGGGCAACATTGAGCAAACCATTCCTCGACACATTCGATCCTGTGACAGTCGGCAGAGGACGGGAAGAACTGCAAGTTAGCTAGGGTAGCACGCATCGTGTCGTGCCATTCACGGGGTGCCTGTCGCAGGCCGTAGACAGGGCGCCGCAGGAGCCACTGGGTCCCAGGAGGGAAGGTGTTAGAATACGATAATTGATCTACTAGGAAGAGAAACCTAGTACATGTACCTGTTGGGTTGTACTCACTAGAAGCACACATCTAGTAGAGCCTATAACTTCTACATAGAACATATGTATAAGTTGACACACCCCCTAGGCTAGATAAGGGGTGGAGCTAAGCAAGAAGCACACAGCTCAGGGTGGCAATACTAGTCCAACCATTGAGGCAGGGGTCCGAAGACTAGTCAGAAAGAGTAAAAACAAGACTAAAGTAAGCCAGGGCGGCACGACTAGTCCAGCCACTGGAGGTAAGGCCACAAGGCCAGTCAGACAGATATAAATAGTAGTGAGTACACAATCAGGGTCCTAACAAGTGAGAAGTGACAGGAACAAGACCAAGCTGGACACAGTGCCGTTGATGATCTTTAGGCGCAAGCGCCTCAGTAAAGATATCAGCTGTGTTGGCACCGGAGACCAAGTGAACTACGCGGGCCTGGCGACGCTGCTTTAGCTCGCACAGGAGGAAGTATCGCAGCTGGATATGCTTCGCTCTGCCCTCAAGCCGAGGCTCTTGACACAAGAGAATCATGGCCCTGTTGTCAGCGTACAGGACCGAGGCAGAGCTAGGCCGCTCATCTAAGTCTGTAAGCAAGAAGGTAAGCCAGCGGAGCTCCTATGCCGCCATGGCACCAGCGTAGATCTCAGCCTCGCAGCTGGACTGAGCAATAGACAGCGAGCGAGTGGATCTCCAAGAGATAGCACCCGAACTAAGGCTAAAACAGTAGCCTTGAGACGACATGAGAGTCTCAGAGTCGTCTGCCCAAGAAGCGTCTGTGTGCCCGGTGAGGACCACTGGCCTGCGTCCTCCTAGCGCTAACCCCATGCCCGATGTACTTGCAAGATAACGCAAAACCCTCTTAGCGGCAGACCAGTGCTGAGGTCGGTGTCTGCCTGTAGCCACAAAGCGAGCCAGGATGCTAAGAGGGTATGCGAGATCTGGGTGAGTGCAAGTCATCAGGTACATGAGGCAACCCACCAGCTCTGCGTAGAGACCATTGGGCTCTATTGGCTCCTCAGGAACGGGAGCGGAGAGCCCATGGTCTACAAGTAGAGGTGTGGGCTGTGCGGAGGAGAACTGAAGACCGAACCTCTGAAGGACCTGACGCACCAAGTGTGACTATGTCAGAGTGATGGTGCGTGCTGCTCTGTCCCTAGAGATCAGCAGGCCAAGATAGCGACACAGCTCTCCAAGGTCAGTGCATGTGTGTCTCTTCAGCAGCTCGGCCTTCACAGAGGCCAGTGCGTCCCTGTCAGTAGTAGCGAAGACCAGGTTGTCTACGTAGACAAGGATGTAGAACGGAGTCTGGCTGGAACGCACAAACAGCGAGGGGTCAGCTGAGGACGGAAAGAACTGCAGGTCTGCTAACGTGGCCCGTAGCGTGTCGTGCCACTCGCGGGGAGCCTGACGCAGGCCGTAGACCGGGCGCCTGAGAAGCCACTAGGTCCCAGGGGGCCCAAGGTCCCGAGGTGGCCTCGGAGTAGGTGCGAGGGGTCGGGATGTCGAAGGCGTTTCGGTCACCCTCAGGGACTTACAACATGGAGCAGAGATGGGGAGCGGCCTCGGAAATGAAAGCAAGCTCGTACTGCCTGTCCTCTAGAACGTCACTGCCAAGGGCAGGAGCACCCCTGACGGACGGAGGACGGGCAGGGTCAGAGACCAGAGCGGTAGCATAGTCAAGGCGGCGGGTAGAGGCGTAGTCAGTGACAGCAGCGACAAGCGCGTCAAGGCGCGAGACAGGAACAGACGGGTCGGTAACAAGAGAGGCAAGAACCCGAGGGACAAGGGGACGAGCGGTACGGAGGTAGTCAGACAACGGAGGAGGTGCAACAGCAAGCGACGAGGGAGGAGGGGACGGGAGGAGGGGAGGACGAGACGAGTGCAAACGGAGCAACATTGGGTGGGAGCGCAGGACAGGAGAGACGGGACGAGCACGGGAGGGACGGCGAGACCAAACGTGGGACGGAGGTGTAGGGTCAGGAGACAGCGGAGGGGACACAGGAGGGGAACGAGGAGGAAGACGGGCCGGAGACGAGTCTAGCGGCGGGAACACAGGACCGTAGACAGGAAAGTCAGAAGGCGGTGCGGGAGACACCGGCAAGCGGTCAGGGGAGGGAAGGCCGAGTAGGCGGAGAGCGGAGACCGGCGGCGACGGCTGCTGCTGCTGCTGCGACGGTTGGGCCGCAACCCTCAGACTGGCAGGGGCAGGACGACCGCCGGCAAAACACTCAACAGCAGCACCCCCAGAACCAACACCCCCAGAGCGAGAACCCCCTCCAACACCAGCGGCACCCCCAGAAGCCGCAGGACGAACACCCTCCTCAACGCCAGCACCCCCAGAGGCTAAGAGCGGCGGCGGCAGCGGCGGCGACGGCAACAGCGGCGACGGCGGCGGCGGTGTCGGCGGCGGCGGCTGCGGCCGTGGAGGCGGAGACACCGGGGAAGGGGGACGCGGGAAGGACAGGCCGGGGGTACCACTAGAGTCAGCAGACTCCTCAACGGGGACAACCGACGGGAGGGGAATGACGAGAGAGACACCAGACTAGGCAGGACGAGGCGGGAGAGGAGCAGGGGCTACTGGGGGAGAGGGAGCAAGGAACAGGGGCGGGGCAACCGGGAGACCTTGGTGAGGGAAGCGGCGGTAGAAGGAGACAGACTCGTCAAAGGTGACGTCACGAGAGTGGAGGAAGCGGTGAGACGGCGGGTGGTAGAAAAGCCAGTCAGACGAGTCCAAG